TGTCCCAAAAAACTCCTAATGCCCTTCACATTAGTTGGTGGGGGTAATTTAGCAATGGTGTATATCTTTGTCCGATCCACCTCAATTCCCTTTTTAGAGACTTTATGTCCCAAAACTATTCCCTCCTTGACCATGAAGTGACACTTTTCCCAATTTAGGACCAAGTCGGTTTTCTCATATCTAGCAAGCATCGAGTCAAGATTTGTGAGGCAGTCATTGAAAGAAGATCCAAATACAGAAAAGTCATCCATAAAGACCTCCATGAATTTTTCTACCATATCATGGAATATGGCGGTCATGCACCTTTGAAATGTCGCAGGTGCATTGCATAGTCCAAATGGCATGCGTCTATAGGCAAAGGTCCCACTGGGGCATGTAAAGGTGGTCTTTTCTTGGTCCATTGGGTCTATGGGTATTTGGAAATACCCGGAAAACCCATCTAAGAAGCAATAGTAGCTATGGCCCGATAGTCTCTCTAACATTTGATCTATGAAAGGAAGGGGAAAATGGTCTTTGCGAGTGGCATCGTTTAGCTTGCGATAATCGATGCACACTCGCCAACCGGTTACCGTTCGCGTTGGAATTAACTCGTTCTTCTCGTTGGTAATGACCGTCATTCCTCCTTTCTTGGGCACCACTTGGACCGGACTCACCCATGGGCTATCGGAGATGGAGTAGATGATTCCTGCATCCAAAAGCTTGACCACCTCCTTCTTGACGACTTCTTGCATGTTCGGGTTTAATCTTCTTTGATGTTGCACCACCGGCCTTGCTCCTTCTTCTAAGTTGATTTTGTGAGAGCAGTAGGATGGACTTATTCCCTTTATGTCGGAGATGCTCCATGCGATGGCTCTTTTCCTTTTTTTCAACACTCGTACAAGCTCCTCCTTTTCCATCTTGGAGAGATCCGAGGCTATAATCACTGGCTTCTGATTTTCTTCTTCCAGAAAGGCGTATTCCAGATGGTCAGGCGGTGTTTTGAGCTCCAATTTATTGTGCATAGTGGCGGACTCGCCGAGTGCAGGCATGGTACTCGGCGAGTTGGTGGCGGCATTCACGACTGCTGGCTTTTCTTCAGATGTACTCGGCGAGTAGATCGGGTCTACTCGGCGAGTAGGGCTTTCAGCTTGGTTCTTTAGTTCTTCATACTCTGCTTCTTCCAACAGTCTTTCAATCTCTAATAAGTCTTTTTCTGGATCAAATACTTCTTCCAAAGCTGCAAACTTGCTGGAATCTTCAGGTATGTCTTCTTCCAATAACTCGTCAAGCATGTCGATTGAGAACGCCGTGTCGTCACTACTCCTTGAGTACTTTATGGCTTGGTCTACCCCGAATGTCACTTAGTCGTCCCCAACTCGCAATGTGAGCTTAGAATCTCTCATGTCTACGATGGCGCTAGCGGTGTTGAGGAAGGGTCTTCCAAGGATGATTGGTACTTGTGGATCCGCCTCCATGTCGAGAATGATGAAGTCAGCCGGGAAGACAAATTTGTCTACTTTCACTAGCAAATCTTCACATATGCCTCTTGGGAAAGTAACCGTCTTGTTTGCCAAATGAATTTCCATCCGAATTGGCCTTGGCTCCGGGAGGTCCAGCTTTTTGAAGAACGAGTATGGCATAAGGTTCACACTTGCTCCAGAATCAGCTAAAGCATGAATTGTAGCCAAGTTTCCAATTTTGGCAAGGCAAAGTTAAGCTCCCCGGATCACCCTTCTTCTTTGGTAATTTTTTTTAGCATGGCTGCGGAGCAATTCTCATTCAGTACTACTTTCTGCACTTCTTCCATCTTTCTTCTATTAGTGAGGAGTTCCTTAAGGAACTTTGCATACTTGGGCATTTGCATGACGGCTTCAATGAAAGGAATGTTTATTTGAAGAGTTTTAATATGATCAAGGAACTTCTGATATTCCTCTTCCTGCTTCTCCTTCTTGGCTCGGGCTGGGTACGGCATTGGAGGCTGGTATGGTTTCAAGGGTGGCTGTTCATTAGTTTTTGCAGATGTACTCGCCGAGTCCATCGATCCTACTCGGCGAGTAGGGCTCTCAGATTGTGAGTGTTGGTTTTCGACTTGTACTTTCGTTCCTTCCTTCTATGAGTCCTTGTTTGCTTCAGTTCGAATGGGGGTCAGGGGAGTAATAATCTTCCCACTTCTTGTGGTAACAATACTCACTTGCGCGCCTCGTGGGTTGTTCTCGGTTTTGCTAGGAAGCTCACCCGGTGACCTTTGGTTTAGTTGTTGAGCAAGTTGCCCAAGCTGAGTTTCTATGTTGTGGATGGATGCTTGCTGGTTCCTGAGCATTGTTCTTGTTTCTTGGATAGCAGCATCGTGGTCACTATGTCTTTTCTCGGAAGCAGCCACAAATTTAGTTAGCATTTCTTCCAAGCTTGGCTTCTTCTCTTGCACCGGCTCCTCCTTTTGGTAAAAGCCTCTCCCTTTTTGTCTATACTTCTCCTCCTTGTCCTTCTTGTACTCTTCGTAAGGCAGCCACTCCTTCTTTTGTTTTCGCCAGTCTTCATCATACCGGTCACCGCTCGAATAGCATACTTGTGCCTTTTTGTTGCCGTGCTCATCCAAATCGCAATCTCTAGTGAGGTGAGGTCCATTGCAATTCTCGCAACCCACCCGTATGGCATGGATAGTTTGATCCATTTTGTCCATTCTCCTATCCATGGTTTTTAACATGGCCATGACCGCGGATAAATCTTCAGTAGCAGCGTATGCGGCTCCCCTCGTGACATCATTCCTAGGGTTGTGGTATTCTCTAGAGTGTTTAGAGAATTCTTCAATTAATTCTTTGATTACCGGGGGTGGCTTCTTTGTAAGTGGGCCTTGTGAGTCTAGCAGCTGCCGGGTCGTGACATTGACTCCATCATAAAAGATGGAAACTTCTTGTTGGCTATTTAGATCATGGTGTGGGCAATTTCGTAGCAGACTTTTGTACCTCTCCCATGCTTCATATAACGACTCTCCAGCTTGTTGTTCAAAGTTTGCAATGGCCTTCTTGAGCTTGGCTATCTTGGATGGTGGGAAAAGGTGATCAATAAATTCTTCCTTCATTCTGGCCCAAGTAGTGACTGACCCGGGAGGAAGTGATTTGAGCCAGTCTTTAGCAGCACCCTTGAAGGTTACCGAAAGCATCCGAAGCAGTTGAGTTTCGCGGGTGACATTTGGAATGTTGAAGTAATCAGCAACATCATTTACTTCATCCAAATGTTTGTAGGCATCTTCATGATCTTTCCCGTAGAAAGGTATTTCCTTGAGTGAAGCTAGGATATGACCTTTTAGCTCGAAGGTGGCAGTTGTGGGAATTGCGGGTTACACAAGTCCCGGGCCATGGTCGTCGCGCATCCTCTTCTTCCATTCTCCCATGGGAATTTCATCAATGTTAGCCATAGTGAATGCTAACTCTTCCTCCGATTCGGTTTCTTGTTCGTAAGTTGCCTCGTCTTCTTCCTCGGTTTCGTATCTAATCTCTTCTTGAATTGACTCCTCAATTATCAAGGAAGCGCTTGAAACTCCTAATTTGCTGCTCTTCTTTTTCCCAAAAACAGTCTTCAAGTTGGACAATGGTGATTTCTTTGGTGTGCTTGAACTCTCCACGTCCTTCCCTTTGTTTCTTTTCAATTCAGATTCGGGGTCTTCAAACGGGCAGTGAACCTGTCTTTAAGTGGTATAGATTGATAAGTAAGGTATTGAACTCAGGGAACGGGCAATTAAACTAATAGCTAATTTTAACTAAAACAAATAATAGAAGTAAAGGGTTTTTCTCTAGTTTTGCAAGATTAGAAACTTAAACAAACTAAATTAACTAATTAACTAAAGCAACAACTATTCACCAAATTTGATAAAGATGTTTCTATTTAGGTTCAACCAATTCACTCCTATGGTTATTTAAGTTAAGGTAGATTAATTGCTATTGGTTACCAATGATAGTAGTTAGGTTCATGTTCATTACTCCTAACCCTTAGACAATTAACTAATTTAAGCGTTGATCAAGTGTTTAAACTAATTAATTCCCTAGATTAATTATTTGGATTAAATAAGATTTGTAATGGTCAATTAAGTTATTAATTCAATTAACCTCTTGTTGATGGTTTCTCAAACAAGCTCACACATTAATCTTCCTATTTTCTTATTAATCTTAGTTTCATACTCATTACTTCCAAGCATATGTTTTAGCATTCACATAGACATATGATTTTAACAATCAAGTGATGTTCATGCAACCTAATTGCCTTCCAATTAATAGAAAATAGTAGTGATTAATACATAAGGTTCTTTAACAAACTTAATTTAATAAATCACCAATAGACAATTAAACAAAATTCAATAACTAAACCATAGGAGTTCTTTGGTATTCCCCAAACAGAAACAAAAACGAGTTTAGCTCATAGTTGCAGTAGAAACAAGCATAAAAACAAAGTTTATGAAAGCAAACATGTTTAATTCCTAAGTCTAAGTGGTAGAATTAACCTAATTGCTTGAATTCTTCCAACTCTTGAAGCTTAGGGTTCCTCAGCGCCTTCTGAACCTTTTAGTCGCAGCTAATCCTTCAAAATTCGCCAAGAGTTATGTCCCATGAGATAAGGATTCGTCTTTTAAAGATATCCCAAAACAGAGGGTACTCGGCGAGTAGCAGAATCAACTCGCCGAGTAGGTCAATACTTATCCGTCTTTAGATTAGCAGTCGTATTTATCTTCTGGCATATCATCGTGTACTCGCCGAGTAGGTCCTTCTTTTCACTCTTTAATCTTCACTTGCTTTCCCATTTCTCCTCTTTGCCTCCAAGCATATCTTTTGGACTGAAAACACAATTCAAAGCATTTTAAGTACCTTTTGTCCACATTATTTTCATAATTAACCAAAAATAACTAAGAATAATTAACTAATTATGCACATATCACTAATCCAACTGCAATGTTGAATTTGCAGAAGTCCCAACACATCTCATCTTCTTCAGCTTGGTTTTGGCAATCCTATCAGATGGCCTTCTTCTTTTCACAATCCTAAGGTGTACTGGTAATTCCTGGGTGTCATTGATGCCTTCTTCTTCTTGTTCTTCACTTTCTGGTTGTGTCTCAAGGATAATTTCTTCAGCCCCATCTTGTGTGTCAGTCTAAGGGGGATCCTCCTCTTCCTGTAAAACATCAAGCATAAAACATCAACCAATTAATAACATAAATGAATGTTAACATTAAGGTAACATAAAGGGTTTACCATAAACATAGGAAGAAGTTGTTCAATAGTGTCATTGTAATCATTGAACTATTTCATGTGTGAATCTGTCAGATTAAGGGTATTTTTAATTTCTACAATTGAATACTGTGATACTTTCAAATCTTGCATTTCCTTCCGTAGATGGACTAAATATTTTTCAGGAATAGTTTCATCCTCATTTTCAATCTCAGCCACTCCACCACCTTCAACCTCAGCCACTCCAGTAGATGTCTTACCCCCCTTACAACCTCTTTTAATACCTTTACCACCTCTCTTACCTACTGCACCACCTTTGTTACCAACTGCACCAACTGTCTTACCCACTACACCACCTCTATTACTCCCTATACCACCTCCACTATCCCAAGCACCACCTCTACTACCTCTAACACCACTTCTAGTCCAATGACTGATATCAGGATCCAATCATGGTCTACCCATTTTTTGGGGGATTGGGTTTTGGTGTGACCTTGGGATTCTTACAGGATGCCTTGTTGTGACCCCTTTGAAGATAGTTTTTGCATTGGATTGTCCTTCTTATTCCAGTAACCTTCATCTTATTTTGGGAGTATTTTTCTTGAGATTCAGTGACATGCCTCTTTCTTTTTAGAGTTTGTCTCCCTGACATTCTTCTAGCTAAATGGGATATAGGCTTTGTGTATGTAGTTCTATGCCATAAATTTCTACCATTCATAGGTAGTATATTGTTTGCATATATGGCCTTGAACCTATCCACACTAAACCACTCACTTATGAATTGAAATGGATCTTGTCCAGTGAATAATATTGCAGACTGTACATGTACGCATGGAATTCCTGATATATCCCAAAGCCTACAGTTGCACACTTTCATTTGTAAGTCAACCGCATACCCTTCAAATCCATTTGTAGCTTCAAAAATATATGGTCCACTTGGATTCACATTCCAATTCCTACAATGACATTATTAAATGAAATCATAACAATAAAATTAGAAGAATGATTATAAGGAACATTTATAAAAATGCTAAGACAAACCTCAAATTCACTCCAAACTTGTTCATTTTCTTGATAGCAGCTGGACAAACCACTGATTCCTACTTTTCTGCCTTTTGTAACATATGGTAGAATCTATCCATCACGTAGAACCTAGTTTCGTCAAACAATGCTAGAATGGGCTTTTTTCTAGTATCCAATATGATGGCGTTGAAGCACTCTGCAATGCCATTTTCAACTGCTTCACATGCTACCTCAATCTTAAAATATGTCCTGCACCATGTGTGAGGATGTCTTGCAAGCAAATGTTCGTAAGCATTGGGATTGACCTCTTTGATATCATCCATTTTCCTCAGAAATTCACTTTTTATAGTTGAAAAGGAAGTTGCCCAGAACATATTCTAGACCTCCGCTCCAGTATAGGTCTTCCTAAAGTTAGCATATGTGTGTCTTTCACACTGTCCATGCTCCACATTTGGTAGTACTTCCTTAGTTGCTTTAAGCAATCCATGCAATGTAATAAAAATAAATACATAAACATATAAGATGATGATAAAGAAAAATCATAAATATGCAAAGAAATTACAAACCTTTGTTTATCAGAAATTACAGTAAACCCTCCTCTATCTTGCAGGTTAAGATCCTCTGTAAGCATTTCCAGAAACCATTTCCAATTAGCTTTATTTTTAATATCAACATCTGCCCAAGCAATTGTTGGGTTTGGAGCATAACATCATTCATATTCTGTACATCCAACCCTAATTTCTTTGGATCTAGGTTTTTCTATTATGAACATTCAACTATTAATACCAAAGCAATAACCCTATGACTAACATACATATTTCGAAATTGACGTATGATTAGGGTTAGAAACTTTACCTTTCTTGTTATGTAGCAATAACAAGTTTAATCCTTCTTGATCTTGACTTCTAAAAGCCTAGTGCCCCAAGTGTTGCACCTCTAATGGACTCACAAACACCCAATGCAAGGAGGATGACTTAGGAGAGAAGGATTTCGGCTAGGGTTTCTTTCTTGGATGCTCAAGCCGAAAATCCCTTGTATAGGGTCATATATATAGTTGTGGTTGCAAGGGTTTTCAAGTGGAAACCCTGATACCTAGCTTAGGCAACAAGAAACCCATGAAATCCTTCCTTAGAGCCCATGGACGAAATCTATAGGGACTTCCTATAGGATTTCGTCCACTCCACTCTATGGAGTCCATCAGCCTAATTATGCAACTATTAATGATTTGCATAACAGTCCTCTAATTATTTAAACAGTGTCTTTTGACCACTAAATTAATTCGAAATTAATTTCCGATCAATACTAATTAAATAATATGATTTCCAAATAATATATTAATCTTGTAATATATTAATAAAACCATTTCCAGTACCAATTTATTATTCACATCATAAATTCTACTTTCTCTCCTCTTGTCATCCTATCAAGTTGCATGATTGAAAGCAACCCAAAAGGACCATGCTCATAATCGGGTCAAATACATACCAAAAATAGTTATGGGCTTAGACACCTAATCCAACAGTCTCCCACTTGGATAAGTCTAATAACTATTATTGCAAGTACGACTTCAAAACCTGATTAGCAATTGTAGCTTTCAAAAGCCATTGTTGAACTCTAATCTTATCAGTAACACGTCCTTTAGATAAATGATCATATATTACTCCATTCTAGATATCATATAGACATGAGACATGGATTATAATCATTCTCTTTGTCTATGTGTTGTTTCCTGATTTCCGATTTAGGACGACTGACAACTGACTACAATTAAACACATCAACTTAGTCCATGCTTGGCCACACGCTTTAGGGTGTCATCACTAAATCATCGAGGGGCTCACATATATCGCTTTTATCCCACTTTGGGTAAAAGGAATGGATAAACGTCAATTCATATTATTAGTGTGCAACCAACTCATAAATAACAACTCATATATCTCCGTTTCAAGAATATAAGATATTATCATCTCACAATCACTCATGATAAAATCCATGAAGTGATTCACGTGAGCATGGATTTATTCAAATACTCAAATCTTATTTCAGGAGCACTGATGAACAATGCAGCAGACTTTTGATATGTCTAAACATTTTAGACAATCTACAGTAGGATTCATGACAATCCTGCCTCATTACGTACTTCCAAAGTATGATTGAGTGCGGATGTTTGAATAACCTAGTTATTCGGGAAGTCAAAATATGTGAAGTGAAACACACGAATAATCAAATCCAATATGGTTACAAAACTTTTGAGTATAAATAAAACACACATTATTCATTGTATATATGTGTCTTGCACACCATCTATGCTTCGCATTTGGTAATTCTTCATTTGTTGCTTTAAGCAATCCCTGCAATGTAATTTAAAATAAATACGTAAACATATAAGATGATGATAAAGAAAAATAATAAAAATGCTAACAAATTACAAACCTTTTTTGATCAGAAATTACAGTAAACCCTCCTCCATCTTGCAGGTTAAGATCCTCTGTGAGCAGTTGTAGAAACCATTTCCAATTAGCTTTATTTCCAATGTCAACAACTGCCCAAGAAATTGTTTGGTTTTGAGCATAACATCATCTCTATGGTGTACATGCAACCCTAATTGCTTTGGGTCTAGGTTATTCTATTATGAACTTACAACTATGAATACAAAAGAAATAAGCCTATGACGAGCATGCATATTTCAAAATTGACATATAATTAGGGTTAGAAACTTTACCACTCTTGTTATGTAGCAATAACAAATTTAATCCTTCTTCATCTTGACTTCTAAAAGCCTAGTGCCCCAAGTGTTGCACCTCTAATGGAGTTACAAACACCCAATGCAAGGAGGATGACTTAGGAGAGAAGGATTTTGGCTAGGGTTTCTTTCTTGGATGCTCAGGCCGAAAATCCCTTGTATAGGGTCATATATATATATATATATATATATATATATATATATATATATATATATATATATATATATAGTTGTGGTTGCTAGGGTGTTCAGGTGGAAACCCTAATACCTAACTTAGGCAACAAGCAGCCCATGAACTATTTCCTTAGAGCCCATGGACGAAATCTATAGGGCTTCACTATAGGATTTCTCCCACTCCACTCTATGGTGTCCATCGGCCCAATTATGCAACTATCAATGATTTTCATAATAGTCCCCCAGTTATTTAATCAGTCTCTTTTGACCACTAAATTAATTCCAAATTAATTTATGATCAATACTAATTAAATAATATGATTTTCAAATAATATATTGATCTTGTAATATATTAATAAATCGAGTACCAATTTATTATTCACATAATAAATTCTACTTTCTCTCCTTTTGTCATCCTATCAAGTTGCATGAGTGAAGGCAACCCAAAAGGACCATGCTCATAATCGGGTCAAATACATACCAACAATAGTTATTGTCTTAGACACCTAATCCAACAACAATTAGATATACTTGGTTGTTTGGATACCTCCCTATTGTTGTGAGTAATTCTCCTTTACATGTCCCTTTCAAGATAAATCCATTTAGACCAATTAGCCTACAACACCCTATTTTCCAACCTTCCTTGATTGCTTTAAAACACACATACATCCTGTGAAAGTATGTTGTATGATCTAGATTGACAGTGACACCCACTTGGACGGTGCTACCAGGATATGACCTTAGTAACTCATGACAATAATCCCACACCCTACCATAATGGTCTGTGAGTTTACCATCTATAATGCTCATTGCTCTACAACTGGTTGTGTACACCATAGACCAAGACACCCCACAATAAACTTGGTTCTAATTATTGATTGCATCTCCTTACACTTCATGTTAGGTTTCATTATCGACACCTTCAAAAAGTGTCTTGCTAGCCTTATCGGACTCAGTAAATTTGAAATATTGAAATTTCTAACACATTTGTGCTCATCAGCTAATGTTTTAATCTAAAAATACCTTTCTTGATTCATCCAAGAAGCATGAAATCTGAATGGACAGGGTTGATACTTCATCTTAGAATCACATTTGGCAATTAATCGTATAGTGTCAGACTTCGCAGATTTAATGTTATACCCCGCCTTAATGGCATAATTAGTGAGACATCGTTGTAACTGATGTGGTGATTCATACCTTTCACCAAGAAGGGGCTTCATCTTATTCCACTTAATTGATTGATCGTGAATAGGGAAGCCTACACCACCCACATCTCCCAAATGAAGATCATTATCCCCTGTTGTGTCATCGATTTCCTACTCTGAACCAAACCCTTCTTTATCTTCATCAGCAGCATCATTGGCCTCATCGGCTTCATTATCTTCATAATCAGAACTGAAGTTAAAAAGCATCCTTGCATCTCTCTTTACCTTGTGTCTTGAAATCATCTTATTCCATTTCCACATCTATGTGCTTAGTATCGACCACCTCCTCATCAACGTTGTATTCTTCAGAGTCGTATTGTTCAGAAGATTCATGGTGAACTTCCTCTGATTCGACAACCATTAATAAAAATGGTCGGGTTTTACCTTCGTTTCTCTCAGTAAAA